ATGCCTGAGGCCCTGGGTTTGATTCCTTAGCACCACATAAGCAAAAAGAAAAAAGCCGGAAGTGGCGCTATGGCTCCAGTGGTAGAGTGCTAGCCTTGAGCTGAAGAGCTCAGGGACAGTGCCCAGGCCCAGAGTTCAGGCCTCACAACCGGACCCAAAAAAAAAAAAAGAAGAAGAAGTAGCTAGGGACATTTCTACCAACATTTTCAGCCCCAAGTCCTTCCTCTTGCCATTTATTTGCTCTCTAGTATTTTTTTTTCCAGCCCCTCAATGCCTCATGAGACTTCACCAGACTTCATCTAAGGACTCACACCACCAAGGGACAGCTGCTGCTCGCTGCCTTCTCTGGGAGGGACCAAATTCCAGCCTTTTACCCCTATTGTAGACCCGTTTTGTCAGCTGGAAGTAGCCAGAGAGAATCTGAGCCCTATTTCCTGATTATTAAAAGGCTGGAATGTGAAGTCCACTCCTGGATGGCGAGCAGACTCCACCCTCCTCACAACAAAGCCTCCGCCCAGTATCTGCGTTACCTAGGCAACTGGCACACCTGGAAGAGGGCATGTCTGCATCTGCTGAGGTCACATCTGAATTTGATGTGGCCACACCTTTCCCCTCCCATACCCTAGATAAAGCCGAGCCCAGGCCCAGATGCTCTCTCTTTCCCAGCTCTCTCTCTTTCCCAGCTCTTTCTCGGCTCTCTCTTTTTCCCGGCTCTCTCCCAGCTCTCTCCCAGCTTTCTTTCCCAGCTCTCTTTCCCAGGTCTTTCCCAGCTGCGTAGAATGCCAACATGGCCTGGTGCCAGCCAGAATGATGAATAAACCTACCCCTTACCTGGAAGGGAAAAAAAAAAAAGAGGGAGAAGGGGCAAGCAACCAGCCGTGGTTTCATGAAGTCTAGGCAAAGAAAGGCCAGGGCAGGGACTCTTGGGAAAGAAAAGAAAGCCTGCAGCTGCAATGTCTTACAACTTCTCTAGAGCAGAGCCCACAGTAAAAGAGGCTTAAACACTGAAATCAAAATACTTAAAAGACCTTAAACCTAACATACCAATATTGTTACTTCTGCAACCAGTCTAGCTACAAGGAAAATTCCTAAATTGAAGTCAAAGTACTAAACAACATTGGGAAATGACAAACAGCTCACAGAAAGAAAGAGGAAATCTCTTTGTTTCTTAGTAACAGATGAGGTATGGGGAAAATACTAATTTAAACTACAGCTTCTTCAGCTTACAGCTGTTTTTAAAGAAAAAAAATCCTTTTAGGAGGGTTGTACCCTGCCACCGGTGATTCCCTGGCATTTTGCTCTGAAACCCACAAACGAGGCGATAATGCAAGCGCCCAGCTGCAGCTAAAGCTCCGGGTACCCACACACTCGCAGCTCTGTGCAACATCACACAAAAGGCTGGCAAGTGGCCAGGAGGCCTTGCCGTGGCGTACTCGCCCTAAGTTCAAGATTTTCCATTCAACTGCACTTCAGCTGTGAAATCACATCTGCTTTAACATACTCTATCAATGTGAAACAAATTAAATTCCAATGTCTAATTTTTTTTTTTAAAATTACTCAACTAAAATGTAAAATGTAAAGCCATCAAAATAGATATTTCTAGAATGATCTTAACTTCTGCTGTCTTAGAAGCAGAAATACAGTGGATATATATAGGAAAGCATGGTTCTCTAAACCTGGTAGTTATGTCATAGGTCACTCTAGTAGTATACAACTATCCTAAGGGAAAAGAGAAGGGAAAGAGAAGAAAGCTAATGGAGGGCTGGGGGTGTGGCTCAAAAGTAAATTAAGAGAGGTGGCAGTGTTAGGAAGGTGAGCAGGAGGTTGGGTGTAAGGTTGGGTGTAAGGTTGCATTGAGCTGGCTTATTAGGCCAAGTAAATAAAAGTTATTAAAAGAATTCCATTACATTACACATTAAAAAAAAAAGTAAATTAAGATAGCCAGCCAGGCATCGGTGGATCACGCCTGTAATTCTAGCTACTCAGGAGGCTGACATCTGAGGGTGGTAGTTCAAAGCCAGCCTAGGCAGGAAAGTCCATGAGACTCATCTCCAATAAACCACCAGAAAACTGGAAGTGGCGCTGTGGCTCAAGTGGTAGAGTGCTCCCCTTGAGCTAAAGAGCTCTGGGAGAGCGCCCAGGCCCAGAGTTCAAGCCCCTCCCCACCCCACCCCTCCCAAAAAAAGAGAGCCAGGTGCTGGTGGCTTACACCTGTAATCCTAGCTACTGAGAAGGTTGAGATCTGAGGATTGCAGTTCAAAGCGAACCCTGGTCAGTAAGATCTATGAGACTCTCATTTGCAATTAACTACCAGAAAACCAGCAGTGGCGCTGTGGCTCAAAGTGGTAGAGCATTTGCCTTGAGCAGAAGAGCTGAGGGTCAGTGCCCAGTGGATGAGTTCAAGCCTCACAACCAACCAACAACAACAACAAAAAAAGACAGATATGCATGGCCCTGGGTTTGATCCCAGCACCAAAACACACAGATTCACCCCCCCCCACACACACACACACACACACATACACACACTCACACACACTAAGGGAATGACATAACAGCCTGGCCAGTGTTTAACTTTGGTTAAGGTATGTTTCATAACAGCAAATAACAACTGAGCGCTCATCTCTGTGTGAAATTTTCAAAAAAGGCTTTTTTCACTTTTAGTGAAATATTCATCTACCTATAGTTGATCTCTCTTCTAGGTCTCAACACCTTCCAGATAAAGGATTACAGAAAGAGTCATTGTTTGAATAAACCTTAAGAAGTTTAGTTAATAGCCAACTTGGGAGGTTCTGACACTTGTAGGATTTGAACTGAGTCTTGTGCTGGCTAGGCAGGAGCTCTACCACTTCAGCCACATCTCCAGCCCTTTCTGCTTTATTTTCAAATAAGGTCTCATATTTATGCCCAGGCTGTCCTGGTCAGCAATTCTATTTACACTTCCTGGGATGTCAGCCTACATCATAGAGCTCTCATTCATTGATTGAGATGCGGGAGGGGGGGAGGGGGGTCTCACTAACTTTTAACTTTTGGCATTTGCTGACATTAAACTGAAAGCCTTTAGACTAGCTAGTATTATAGGCCAACATGCTTGGCTCACTAGCTAAATCTTAATAATGTCAAACCTGTAAAAATTTGAAAGCCCTAGAAAATCAATGAGTTTTTTTTCTTCCTCTGAATGGGCATCATTCTACACTTATGCACTAAGAGTGATACAGCAAAGAACTGACATACAACTTTGGTAGGAAGTGCAAACCAAAAGGTGTGCAAAACACACCTGAATCCCAGCTGGCAGAGGGAGGAGGACTTTGAGGTCAGGCTGAGCTATCTCAACACCTCCTATTAAAAAAAAGCCAAAGAAACAAAAAGTGGTATTTGGACTTTAAATTTCTATTTCTGTTCAGCTCTACCTTCATGTGACATTCAAAGAGTGCTTGCCACCTCCCCCCCCCAAAAAAAAAGTATCTTAAAAAGGATCCTTCAAGCTGGGCACCAGTGACTCACACCTGTAATCCTAGCTACTCAGGAGGCTGAGATCCGAGGATCACAGTTCAAAGCCAGCTCGGGCAGGAAAGTCCATGAGACTCTAATCTCCAATTAACTACCAAAAAACAGAAGCGCTGTGGCTCAAGTGGTAGAGTGCTAGCCTGAGCTGAAGAGCTCAGGGACAGTGCCCAGGCCCAGTGTTCAAGCTCCATGACCGACAACAACAACAAAAAAGGCTCCTTCAAATGGCTTGACATTTTTTTCCTCTTCAGTATCAACAACCTTTATGAACTGAGGGCAAAGCTAGGTACTGAAGGCTCACACCTGTAATCCTAGCTACTTAGGAGGCTGAGATCCAAGGATCACAGTTCGAAGCCAGCCCGGACAGGAAAGTCCCAGAGACTCTTACTTCCCAACTAACCACCAGAAGACCAGAAGTGGCGCTACGGCTCAAAGTGGTAGAGCGCTAGCCATGAGATGAAGAGCTCAGGGACAGTGCCCAGGCCCAGAGTTCAAGCCCCACAACTGACAAAAAAAGAAAAAAAAATCTTCCAAATAAGTTAAAATTTCTAGGATTATATGACAACATATAACTGGACAATAGGAACATGGAGGGCTTTGTTGTTTGAATATGAGTTTATATATATATATACACACACATACACACATACACACACACACACACACACACACACACACACACACACACACACTAGTGCTAGGTGCTGGTAGCTCACATCTGTAATCCTACCCACTCAGAAGGCTGAGATCTGAGGATCAAGGTTTGAAGCCAGCCTGAGTAGGAAAGCCCATGTCTTATCACTGATTAACCACCAAAAGACTGGAAGTAGAGCTGTGGCTCAAATAGCAGAGCACCAACTTGAGTGAAAAATCTAAGAGATAGCACCTAGGCCCTGAGTTCAAACTCTAGGACCATCATCCATCCACCACCCCTCACCGCCCCACCCCCCAGCCAAAAATACAGAGATAGCAAAGTTTTTTGTGTCTTTTGTTGTTGTTGGTTATGGAGCTTGAACTCCACTTGGGTGCTGTCCCTGAGCTTTTGTGCTCAAGATTAGTGCTCTACCACTTTGAACCACAACTCTACTTCCAGTTTGGGGGTGGTTAATTGTAGATGAGTCTCACATATTTTCCTGCCCAGGCTGGCTTTGAACCATGATCCACAGATCTCAGCTTGAATAGCTAGGATCACAGGTATGAGCCACCAGCACCCAACTTAGCAAAGTTTTAATGAACAACCACAAAAATGTATTATTTTTTCCATATCCTAAAGTCCACTGGGATGGACAAGGAGCAGGGTAGGAGAGAAGATGAGGCCTAGCTATTGAAAGGAACAAAGTGAAATCTAAATGAGTAAACACAGTGTACCCAATGGCTCCTGCCCCTGGAGTCCTGAAGGAATAGCAGGTTAAGTATTACCTGCATAGGGCAGAGAAGAGTATATTTGCATGCACACTGTAAAAAAATGCAATTTCCAGAAAAGATTAGCTTACCAGTATGTGCTGTAGCTACTGCAATCCATACACACTGTGTGCTGAGCTTTTTCTTGTTTTTCAGACTTCTTATAGTTGGTTAGGGGTATTTGTGCATCTTCATAATGTTTTTTGGCGTGACCATTCACATACCTTATAAAGACCAAATGAAAATTTACTTTAGCTTATTGTTTTGGAAATCAAAGTAGTAAAAGATAACCAAATTAAGTGTTAATCAAGTTAAAATGAGAAAAAAAACTCCTAACAAAATTCAGCCATTTGGTAATTTATTTAATCTATTTAAAATATACATCTTTTGGGGGAGGGGGGTTGCAATCAATTACTACAGTCAACTTCCAGTTATACACTATATTAGGGCCAGGCAGCACAAGACTTTGTCTATGTAAATCATAATCTTTATGCTGATGCTTCTGTTACAGTTCTTTCTTTTTTTTTAAGTTTTTCTCAGTCTGCTAACTCCAATGGAGGCTACTCTGTAAACTAAATTACTTAACTATTTTCCACAGGATCCTGGCATTTTCTATATGCTAGGGTTGCTGCCTTATTTCAAAAGTGAAAATAAGATGTGAAAACAGGATAATCTTTTTCTCATCTATATGGCTTCAGATCTTTTATCTGAATCTCTGAAAAATTAGCTTCACTCACATGGATATGACTTTGTTTAGAAACAATCCAAACAAAACACAAGTTTATAAATGTTATTTTTCTACAGACAAAAGATAAATGAAAGTTACATTCACACAGATTTCTGTAACATTTTCCAACTTAAGTTTAATAAGTCATTTTATTACAGGAGGCAAAATAATACAATTAAGGATTCATATGTATACTTTATGCCCCAAACTCAATTACATCTTAAACTAAAGAAAGTACAGTGCTGTTACCAAGGTAAGTAATTTCTTTTGCTAAAAAGCACTGACTCCTCATTTGAACCCACAAGTTAACTACAAGCAGAAGAAATGCATCCCTGCCTCCATTTTACCTGTGTCTCCCTCCCCTGCAATTATCTTGGGCTCCAGGAAGGACAGGTCTGATCAATAACATCTTTGTAATGAGGGACTAAAACTACCTCCAAGGAAAGGAACAGACGAGCCTCAAAGAACAGACACCCCCTCAGGTAAGGACAATTACCTATGATAAAGAGGCTGCACGGAGAGCAAGAGGAATCACTGTCTGGGAACCAGAATGCTTCCTCCAGTGATGACAGCGATAATTTCCCAGCAACCCTTGTGAACCAGAACCGAGATCATGATTAACTAGGCCACACTCTGTCTAGCACTGCTGACTATGCACTCCGTACCCTACCCCAATTCTTCTTTAAAGCTAAAGCTCAGTCCCTGTACCCCAAGATCTGCTGGCATGCTTGAGAGCCAGTGCAGTGTAACAACAGCCACCACTGCTTGTGTATTTGGTACACTGGGGTGAGTTGTTGGACCTAGCACGTAGAGCCCTGGAGTTGGTCCCTTGGCTTCAAACTCAGATTCCACTGTCACTGACCATTACTGTGAAAGCACTTTTAACAGAAAACTTCCCAGTTCCTAGAAAGCAGCCAATCAGAAGGCAAGGCTCACTTGAAAACTCAAATAGTCAAAACAAATGTTGGTTAAAGGGCACCAAAATAAACAGGCTTAAAGAATTCAGATGATACTTGCATCACAAGCATATAATTGCACCCAGACCAACACTTACCTCCAGGAAAGTTAGGACAGTCATGATAAAGAGGAAGGATCAACTTCAAGCCCAACCTTTCCACCCAGAAAAACTGGACATATTCTAGGCATTATTTGCCTCAACTCAGAATTTAATCTATTCATTTTTTTTTTCACTGTACTTTAAGCACAAATAACACTTGGGTCTCTCATTCTCAAAGGTCACTAGTTCTCAAAAACACGCTAAAACAAGTTTCAAAGTAAAACAATGACTAACGTATAAAGCCAAAACCTAGATTGCCTGTAAAAAAGCAGGCTCTGCCACATCTAACCATATGGCATGGGCAAGGTACTCAACCATCTGTGCCTGTCTTCCTGTTGTAAATGGAGAGTACCGTGTAATGTTTAATCACTATAAAGAATACAAGTAAAATGACTGCTTACAAAGTATGTACGTTAAGCACATATTGACATATTATTGCATAGGTCAAGAAACACTAACTAGGGCCTGGGAAGGTAGATCAGTGGTAGAGTGCTTGCCTCGCATGCATGAAGCCCTGGGTTCAATTTCTCAGCACCACATAAGCAGAAAAAGCCAGAAGTAGTGCTGTGGCTCAAGTGGTAGAGCGCTAGCCTTGAACTGAAAAGCTGAGGGACAGTACTCAGGTCCAGAGTTCAGCCCCCACAACGGACAAAAAGAAAAAGAAGAAACATTAACTAAAGAGGTAAACTCTAAGAGAGCATCTATTTACTATCTAACCATCTTAATTTTCTATTCTCAAGCCTATAGCATATACCATGAAAAATAATGGAAATACTTATGAAAGAGTGCTTCTGTTATCAAAGAAAAAGTTAACGTTGAACAATAATAATAAAAGGTCTTACACTTTTGAAACCAATCATCTTTACACGGTACTATATAGTTCTTTTAGTTTCAATAGTGTAGTTTCCAAGTGTACTAGATGTTTAAATGGTTCCTAAAAAGTGTTGGTGATAAAGTAAGAAATATGATTACCAATGCCATTAAGATTAGTGGTGTTTTGCCCAATACTCCAATATATGTGTCAGAAGTTAGCAGTTGTGTATAAATTAGCTTACATTTTAAAAACTATATATTTTCCTTCATCTGATTTTGGATTTTTATGTACTATGAACTGAATAAGGGGACTTTTCCTTAACATAATGTCAGATTCCTAACAACAATCTTAAAAATTTGGAAAATAACTGAAATGGGGTAGTGTCATAAATATCAACAGAATATGCTACTGATATACTGTGCTTCCTAAGCTAGAAGATTATCTCATGTAGCACTTCCTTATAAAAATTGTAACTCCTTCATACAACCATTTGTAGTTTAAAAAAAAAAAGACTTCTCAGACAAGTACTCAAATACTGAAAAAAATAAGCATATTTGGCAATCAATACCTGAAATTAAACGATAAAAAATTAACCAATCAGCTATGTAAAATGAAGATCTAAATTCAGGATACTCTCAATTCTCTGTTTAATCTACTTAATCATATGTCTTTGAAACTATGCCAAGTTTCTAAATTTAAGCTTGTAAATTAAACCTGTAAGTGGAAATAGTCTTCCTGCAGAGTCTAGGAATTTCTCAATTTATTGCTTATTGTTTGTTGCTTGTGTTTAAAGTACATTAGTCTCTCCAACTTTTTTTTCTCGAAATTATGTTAGGTCTCTTCAAGGACATGACTTTTAAATTTTAGGGCATAAAGCACTGTAAGACAACTGGAGAGCTACATAAACTTTATAATATTATAATTCTCACCTCTCAAAATCTAGGAGAGGCATCTGTGTCTCCAAGTGTGGAATTTAAGTGCTTCTATTTTTCTTTTTTTTTTTTTGGTCGGTTGTGGGGGCTGAACTCTGGGCCTGGACGTTGTCCCTCAGCTCTTCAGCTCAAGGCAAGCATCCTGCCACTTAAGCCACAGCACCACTTCCGACTTTCTCTACTTATGTGGTGCTGAGGAATCGAACCCAGGGCCTCGTGCATGTGAGACAAGCACTCTACCACTGAGCCACCATCCCAGCTCCTACTTTTCTTTTTTTAATGTTATTTATACAAAGTATTTTCAGGTCCCCAAATCCTAGGGATTTTAAAATTCCAACAACAGCCACAATTAAGATATGTAGTTAATAGCTTCCAAAGGTGCCCTTTAAGTATACATGGAAAAAATACTCTAGTCTAGACTTTAAAAAATGTGAAAATTCAAAAGTAATCAAAGGCATTCTCTTCATACAAGGAGGATTTAAAAACAATAGGGAAATAGTCCAGAGTACAAATGGATTTCAATCTATGTGACTTACATGATCTCCCCATCTTCTTGATGCTAAGCTACTAACTCCTAAAGAAAACTAAGACAGGGCTGGGAATGTGGCTTAGTGTTAAGAGTGCTTGTCTAGTATGTCTGAAGCCCTGGGTTCATATTCCTTAGTACCACATAAACACAAAAAGATGGAAGTGGTGCAGTGACTCAAGAGGCAGAGTGCTAGCCTTGAGCAAAGAGGCTCAAGGACAGTGCCCCGGTCCTGGGTTGAAGCCTCAGAACTGGCACAAGAAAGAGAGAGAGAGAGAGAGTAAAACATTTTCTAAGCTAAAAGAAATGGATATGTTAATATGGCTAAAAAAACCCACAGAAGTTAACATTTGAATTTGTGTTAGAAGAAAAGAGTTATCAAAGTGTTATTAAAGTGATACTCCTTTTAAAGGCAAGAAATGGGAGGAAATGTTCAGGATTGGAACTGGGATAGGTTAGGGTAGGAGATATTAAGCACTTTGCCACTGAGCTACATCCCAGCCCGACACAAAATGTTTTTATGAATTTATTTTATTTTATTTTTGGTGCTGTTCCTGGAGCTTGAACTCAGGGCCTGGGTACTGCTGTCCCTGAGGTTGGTTTGGTTTGGTTTTTTGCTCAAGGTTAACCCTCTACCACTTTGAGCCACTGCTCCATTTTCAGCTTTTTCGGGTGGTTATTTAGAGTCTCAGGGACTTTCCTGCCACAACTGGCTTCAAACTTCGATCTTCAGATCTTAGCTTAAGTAGCTAAAGCAAGCTGTTTTAATGGAACAATTAAACACTTCATATATCTTAGTCGAGAATTAACTCAGATAAATCAGATTCAAAAGGAACTCTTTTATCTTTATTTAGTTGCTTTTCTTTTTTTATATAATCATTTTGTCCCAAGACAATATAATAGATGTCATCTGATTCAGAAGTCAGCAAAGGTGGGGACAGGGTCGGTATAGATGACAGGTTGGGTTCTTGATGAAAATGTGATCCAATTAAGCCTGCTTTGGCATGTGCTACAAAAGGCTTAAAAAAAATCAAACAAATATTTATTTCAAATAAAGTCCTTTATGTCATTTTCCCAGCCAAGTATTACTTGGCAGATCATCTTGATCAAACTAATTCCAAACTATTTTGTGTATGTGTGCCTATACTGGGGCTTGAACTCAGAAATTAGGCACTGTCCCTTAGCTTTTTCACTCAAGCTGCTATTACTTGAGCCATATTTCCATTTCCCAGCTTTTTGCTGGTTAAATTGAGATGAGATCTTTCTTGCCTGGGCTGGCTTCGAACTTCAATCCTCAGATCTCAGCTTCCTGAGTAACTAGGATTATACTTATAAGCCACAGGCAGCCCAGCCCAACTAAACTAATTTGTCTGAGTAACAAAGTTTTCCTCCCCTAGATTTTTCCCAGTTGTATCAAGGAACCAAAGAACTCAATTGACAAGTGAATCTCTACAGAGAATTACACAATATGATTAACCAAGGTACTAAACAATTCCAAGTCAATCAACTTTTATATAAACCTTAAAGGTAAATTTTTAAAAGTAGGGTAATGAAGTAATAAATATGTCACCTACCTTCCACAGTGGACACTTGAACAAGTCAAACAGACCCAGGGGCTTTTGTTGGACCTGCACACTAATAAAAAGAAAACATAAAAACCAATATAGCAATTGTATCATGTTATTTCTCATTTCTCCCCTAGTCTGTAATATATATCCAGTGAAACTCATAAACATTTTATCCACTTAGGTGTATTGAAGTCACAAATCCTACTTTTGTGAATGCACTTATACAAAATGGCTGCATAAAGTTAAGATTGAAAAGAATTTGAAAAAAATAAAAGAAAAAAAAAAAGAAAAAAAGAAAAAAAAGAAGAAAAAAAAAAGAAAAGAATTTGAGCCGGGCGCTGGTGGCTCACGCCTGTAATCCTAGCTACTCAGGAGGCTGAGATCTGAGGATCTCGGTTCAAAGCCAATCCCGGGCAGGAGAGACCGTGAGACTCCTATCTCCAATAAACCACCAGAAAACCGGAAGTGGCGCTGTAGCTCAAGTGGTAGAGCGCTCGCCTTGAGCTGAAGAGCTGAGGGACAGCGCCCAGGCCCAGAGTTCAAGCCCCACAACCGACAAAAAAAAAAGAAAAGAAAAGAAAAGAATTTGAATGCTTGAACCAGTGACTGAATTCAAATGGTTTTATCACAAGTTAAGCCCATACATACTTTTCCCTTTTCTTACTCCTTTACCACTGTCTCCAACAAGTCAATGATAATCCATTTTTCCATTAAAGGATTTTTTTTAAGTCTAGTCTTTTAATCACCTATCTTTGTCATTCAGGTCACATCTCTCTATAAATAACTCCTTCTGCTTATTTAGCAAGTGGCATAACCTAAGGTTACAATTAAGAATAAGCCTAGTTTTCTAAAAAGTAATCCTCAGGGGCTGGGAAGGTGGCTCAGTGGTAGAGTGTGTGCCTTGCATGCATGAGGCCCTAGGTTCGATTCCTCAGCACCATATAAGCAGAAAAGACTGCAAGCAGTGCTGTAGCTCAAGTGGTAGAGTGCTAGCCTTAAACTGAAGAGCTGAAGGACAGCGTCCAGGCCCAGAATTCAAGCCCCATGGCTGACAAAATAATAATTAGTAATTATTATTATTATTAATTTGACACACAAGTAAAGAAAAAACTAGTAAGGAAAACAATTATTTTTTAAAAAGTAATCCTCAGTTGCATAAAATGTATAGCAAATGAGGGGGGGTAGAGGTAAATGAATTGAGCAGGGAAAGAGAAAAATGCAGTCAATAATTCATTGTATGCACCACAAAATTAGGAAAAGTAAGGGAAAAGGTAGGTTAAGGGAGGTAAGAATATTAAAGGGGGTGACACTGATCAAGATGCTTTGTTAAGTAGCACCTCTTCTGTACAATTAAAGATAATTTAAGGGGAGGAGGGAGGGGGTAGGGGGATGGGAAGGGATGGGAAGGGGAAACAAAAGAGGCAACAATTCTTGATACGAAATGTACTCATTACCTTGCCCATGTAATTGTAACCCCTTTGTATGGTATTTTCACAATAATAAAAAAAGATTTTTTAAAAAAAATTTAAAAAACAAAATTAAAAAAACAAAAACAGGGCTGGGGACAAGGCTCAATGGCAGAGTGCTTGCCTGTCACGCACAAAGCCCTGGATTCCATCCCCAGCATCACACATAGAAAAAGAAATATATGCTAACAGTATAATCAAGACGTTAAAGTATTACATGGGGTGGGGACAGGCAAAAAAGAGTATAGGAACTTTTAAAATGTTGAATAGGGCTGGGAATGTGGCTTAGTGGAGACTGCTTGCCTAGCATGCATGAAGCCCTGCGTTCGATTCCTCAGCGCCACATGAACAGAAAAAGCCAGAAGTGGCGCTGTGGCTCAAGTGGTAGAGTGCTAGTCTTGAGCACAGAAAGGCTCAGGACAGTGCCAGGCCCTGAGTTCAAGCCCCATGACAAGGAGGGAGGGAGGGAGGGAGGGAGGGAGGAAGGGAGGAAGGGAAGAAGGAAGGAAGGAAGGAAGGAAGGAAGAAGGAAGGAAGGAAGGAAGGAAGGAAGGAAGGAAGGAAGGAAGGAAGGAAGGAAGGAAGGAAGGAAGGAAGGAAGGAAGGAAGGAAGGAAGGAGAAAAAGAAAAAATTGAGTCCAATTTTGTTTGGGGATATTGATATGACAGATGATGTAGCACATACAAGTCCCTGCATTTGACCCTTAGCGCTGCATCACAAAAATGTTTGCTGTTCACTCTTTCAGTTAATAAGCGTTAAATATCCAATATGTAACAGACTTTCAAAAGAACAATATGAACGCTTTCCTGAAAAATTTCTGTTCTACTAAAGCAAAGCAACTCACATGGGGATTGAAAAGGTAGAAAAAGCCATGTGCATCTGGGGACAAGCAGCCTTCTAGTGACACTACAGCTCACCCCTGAGCACTGGGCAGCCCCTGGGAGGGGCGGGGGAGAGGAGGAGAAGGGGATGGGAAGAATTTCCCTGCTTGGTCTGGCTTTCAAGGTGACCCTCAGATCTCAGCCTCCTGAGTAGCTAGGATTACAGGTATGAGCCACCAGTGCCTGGCCTTGGAAAGTACTCTTAATGTGCCCCAACCCAAGTATATTTAAAGGACAATCTTGAGTATACAAAGTCCACTCCTTAGAAAAGAAAAACAAAAACATGTAAAGGCTAGAAAGAGTAGAATATGATGGTATGCAGCCAATAAATGGCCTTGTACAACTTGGGAATATTTCCTGTGCTTATTCACAACTTACCCAATTTACTGATTGGTTTGTTGTTTAGGAAGCACAGAGGTTGAATTCAGGGCCTGATAGGCAAGTACTCTACCACTTGAGACACGCTCCCAGCCAACTTACCCAATCTAAAAAACTTGAATATATTCAACACAAATAAGAAAGAGAATGAAAAATATTGGCCTTTATTTATTGCCAGGCTTGAGGCTTGAACTCAGGGCTTAGGCACTGTCCCTGAGCTTTTTTGCTCAAGTGCTCTCTACCACTCTACCACTTTGAGCGATAGCGCCACCTCTGGTTTGTTTTTTGTTTTTTGTTTTTTTTGGGGGGGGGGAGGGCTGAGTAATTTATTGAGATAAGGGTCTCACAGACTTTCCTGCCCAGGCTAGCTTTGAACTTCATTTCTCAGATCTCAGCCTCCTGAGTAGCTAGTATTACAGGTGTAAGCCATCAGCACTTGGCTCTTCTTTTTACATTTTAAATATTAAATGCTAATACTTGAAAGCTGAAAATAACGGAAACAAGCTAGTTGTGGAAACCAATAGGAAATCTTTAAGACATCTAATTACACTTCTTGTGACCTCAATGAAAAGGAACCACACAGTATTTTTCCCAGGGTCAAGCTTGGCCATAGCATGGTTACGAGTCTGATTTTTCACTCTGATTATAAAATTTCCTCAAACCATGGTGTACTCTCTTCCATTTCTTGGGGTCTCCAAATGCTAATCTCAGTCTTCACATCTTAGACCTCTGGTCATCTTAGACCAGAGGATGGGATTGGCAGGCTCCTTTCCCCCTCACTTTCCCATCATCCCTGCTTTCACCTTGGCATTAAGCTCTTAAGACTGGCAGGATGTGCCCTGTGTATGGAGGGAATAGAGAACCTTGATCACCTCCTGAGCTACTGCCACAGTCCAGAAGGTAGGAGCTGCAGCGCAAGCTGAGGAAGGGAAGTGGAGTCAAGAGCTTTAGCCTCTAAAGCATGTCTCTACCTCATGTCTTCTTCCTAAAGTTGAAAGCTTCAACCTTCCTGGAAACCAGAGAGGGAGGACACTCACTACTGTTCATGTTAAAGAAGGAGCTGCTTGAGAGATTAACTGGACAGAAGACTAGAGAATTCTGTGTTCACAGGGTTAAAGGAGGAAGAAGTAAAGTCAGAAAAAAGGGAGCAGGAACTAAGCCATAATGTAGCCCAGAAAAGAAAGAAGGAAAAGAAAGAAAGAAAGAAAGAAAGAAAGAAAGAAAGAAGAAAGAAAGAAAGAAAGAAAGAAAGAAAGAAAGAAAGAAAGAAAGAAAGAAAGAGAGAAAGAGAGAAAGAGAGAAAGAGAGAAAGAGAGAAAGAGGAGAAAGAGAGAAAGAGAGAAAGAGAGAAAGAGAGAAAGAGAGAAAGAGAGAAAGAAAGAAAGAGAAAGAGAGAAAGAGAGGGAGGGAGGGAGGAAGGAAGGAAGGAAGGAAGGAAGGAAGGAAGGAAGGAAGGAAGGAAGGAAGGAAGGAAGGAAGGAAGGAAGGAAGGAAGGAAGGAAGGAAATCAAACTACACTATGCAACTCCAATGGTACCAAAGCAGCTGAGCGCAGCCAGGGGAGCTGTCTCATGTCCCTCTCCCCCACAGTGCTGTGGGTACTGGGCTTCAGAGAACAGGGCAATAGCAGAGTTCTCATACAAAGCAACTGGAGGCAGCCAAGGAAGCCCTTGGGAGACTAAGCAGAGGTCCAAATGTGGGCACCAAATCTGAAGTGCTCATAAGAGCAAATAGAGACTCAAGGCCAAAACTCCAGGGCCCAGGCTGAGAAGACAATCATGAGGCAAAACATATCTTGCCCATCTTTCCACTTTGCCCTACTATATAAGAAACCTTTCCACTCTCCTCCCAGCAGCTTGTATCTCTTACTCATTCCAAGCTGGCAGTCAATCAATCTTGAATCTCAAGAAAGAATCATGAGATAGATAAACTGTTTACTGGTAAAATCTCAGTTACAACACTGGTCCTAAAAATTTTCCCCTTTCTGCTTAAATTTGTAGTAGATTCAAAATAACCGTAGCCTATCACTCCTTTATTCTGTGACCCTAATCTAACAGTGGGTTCTAGAGCCTGTTTCTTCTATGTGAAGTAGGACACTACACCTCTGTTTGACATGACAAGGGCCCAGTAACAGAGACCAGGAAATTGAAAAGCACCTCGTGAATATCTGTTCTTTCTCCTAAAAAGTGTACTAAGAAGCTCATAGTGACTGCCAAAGTCAATACTAGTGGTTATATACACTGCAGTATATATCATGGCAAGTTTTCAGGAAATTTTCTTTAGCATATACTCATTGGTTGACAGAAAAAAAAAAAAAATCCAAATATATGCAACATTAAAG